ACATACACGGACCAGAAAACATAAGCAACACTTCATAATACTCTTACCATCGAGACATGATGTTTTGTATAAATCCTTCTTCTTCATTGTTTTTTTTTTTTTCAACATTTATTCTTGGGACAGAGAGAGACAGAGCATGAATGGGGGAGGGGCAGAGAGAGAGGGAGACACAGAATCGGAAACAGGCTCCAGGCTCTGAGCCATCAGCCCAGAGCCCGACGCGGGGCTCGAACTCACGGACCGCGAGATCGTGACCTGGCTGAAGTCGGACACTTAACCGACTGCGCCACCCAGGCGCCCCCTTCTTCATTGTTTTTAAAAGCAGCTGGCCTCCCGTGGTGTTCCTACATTTTCTTTTGCAACTGCTTTTTCTTTTAAGCCCATATCATAAACCTGTTCCTGTTCCATTAACATTACAATGGGAGTTTTTGGTGGCTGCGTAATATTCTACCTCACAGCCTCCCAGGGTGGCTATTTCTTAGGGTATTTATCTGGTGTAGAGACCCTTGTCTATTCTACACATTTATTTCCTGGTCTCATAGGTTGAAAATACCTCTTGTTCACTTCCTTATATCCCACCCACACAAGCCTGATGGTGCTTAGATTTGACGTTCCTGTGTTTTCCACGTCGTTGCACATCTGCTCTTACCCTGCAGCACAACATGGGGTTATTGTTCATCACTTTTGGAGATAAGATTCTCACAGGTATGTGCAGCAACCCCAGAGAAGGGGCCCTTTCACTCGAGCAAAAAGCCAGAAGTTTCCATCACTTTCTCCTCCTCCCCCTCGGTGCCCAGACCACAACTTGGGGCCTCTTTCCCCCCAACAAGCCTGCCTCAGGGTACATTAAAAAAATTTTTTTCTAATGTTTATTTATTTTGAGGGAGAGAGAGACAGAGTGCGAGCAGGGGAGGGGCAGAGAGAGAGGGAGACATAGAATCCGAAGCAAGCTCCAGGCTCCAAGCTCTCAGCACAGAGCCCGACGCGGGGCTCAAACCCACAAGCCGTGAGATCATGACCTGAGCCAAAATCGGATGCTTAACTGACTGAGCCACCCAGGCACCCCTCAGTGTACATTTTCCACTTAATTTCATGAGATCTGCCCTGCTTTTGGAGGACCTTAGGCCTCATGTCTCACGACATGCCCACCTGAAGGAAACTTCTCGGGACAGACTATTTGCTAAAGTGGGTCTGTTTGCAGAGAACCACAGCTTTGGAGTGTGCAGAACTTATAGGCCTTCTGTTACCAAGTCTGAGCCTTGTTGCCTTAGAGGGAAGGCTCTTCCCCTCTGTCTTTATTTGGAAGCACAGTGATGGCCTAGTTATTATATGTGTTTGTCTTCCACACTTTTCTTTCCCGTGGGCTGAGTGCTGGTGACGAGAGCCCTGGCTGGAAGCCCCGGGGGAGGTCGACGGCTCTCCGGCCTCCGGGGGAGGGCGTCGCTGTGTTGGCAGGAAGAGCTGTGAGTGGAACTGGATGGCCGGGTCCGAGCCCACACAGAGCACACAGCAGATGTCCGTGCGAGATTCAGGTTTCTGCTCCCGGAGGACTCCGGGTGAGGCTGCTCCAGCCCTCCTGTGTCTAAGCTGATGCAACCTAGGATGCTCCAGAGTCTGGACCCACCCAGGCAGCTTGTTGAGGAACATCTCAGGTGTACTTGCTTTTGTTCACACCGTCTTTGTGACGCCAGATACGCATTCCCTCACCACCCGCCTCCCTGGTTGCTGGTTTTTTGGTTGAGCGTTTCCTTTCTTGTTGGAATGGCAGGACCATGGGCCACCACCCAAGCTCCACATCCGCTTGGGGCTGCCATTGCAACTCCCCCCAGCAAGAGCAAGGCAGGTGAGGAGAGGCCCGGGGGCCTGCAGACCCAAGAGCACCATGGCGTTCACTATGGCCTCCTTCCTCCTCCGCTGTCCCAACGCAGAGCAGCCAGAGGGCATTGGGTCATGACTTTGGGGATCCAGGTTCTGATCCCAGACCTGCGATCAATTGGCAGTTTCCTTGTTTGTAAAATGGGGCTAATTGTTGCCCACCATACCTGCCTTAGTGATGTGTGGCGAACATCACAGGACAACTTGAGTGTGAAAGCAAGGAACGGGTAGTAACCGACCTTGCCCTCTGTCAGAAAGGAGTCTCAGAATGGGAGTGGTTACTCATAGCACTTCCCAGGACTGGGATGGTGGAGGAAGAAGGGGGATGCCAGCCCTTGGCTCTCCTCCCAGGCTTGTGAGCCAAGTGCAGATTACTAAGTGTGCACGTGTTCGTTGTAGGAGTGAATCTGCCTTTGAGAAAGCCAATGTCGACGTCTTCCGGGTGAGAACCAACAACGTGGGCCTCATCTACAAAATCAGGTCAGAATCTGGCCCCTGACCAGGAAGGAAGTGAGATGAAAACCAGTAGATTAGGAACTGATGTCACTACTGACACTTTCTGGATGTCAATTACTCCCTGGTGTCATTTGAGGGGTGACTGAAGGCCCAGATCTTTCCCACCCATGCTGAGTCGTGGCTCCCTAAACTTGCCCATTAGAGATTCACTTCTCTGTGTTGAGACTACTTAAGACAATTTCTCACAAACTTGGGAAATATGCTCTAAGAGGCACTAGCATAGTGGTTAAGAGTGGCTTCTGAGTCCAGATTGCCTTGGTTCAAACTTCTGCCTTTCCATTTGCTAGCTGTGGAACTTCGGGCATTTCCTCTCCAAGCCCCAGTTTCCTCATTTGTAATAACGATCCCTACCACCTAGAGTTAGGGAGGACTCAGCAAGTTAGTGCTCAGACGGTAACTGGCACTCAGCCAGTATTAGAGATGCTGGGTCACATTGCAGGGTGCCTTATGACAGAGAGCTTGCCTCTCTCTGGGGGCGTCTGTGTGAGTGTGCTGGGAAGGATAATTCTATCAGCCTGGTTGCCAAGGAAGAGTCCTCAATTGCCCTGCTTTCGCCCCTCCTTCCTCCCTCCCTACGACCCACACCCATTCAAGTTCATGCCCATTTGTCAGAATGTCATCATCTGGGGTCTGACTGCACCCAGGCTAGGGCCTGGCCGCCTCAGTCCTAAGTTGTCTTCCTCCCACTAGAAAGTATAGGACCATGCACTGTCTTTCTTGGAAAAAAGGGACAAATGAGGGCCCCGGCACTGGTGTGTGAGGGAAGGGTGTGACAAACAGGGAAGGGGAGGGTCGGGAAGAGGGTTTTGCCGTGGGGAAAGGCAACCGCTATGCTCAGGTCCCACTAGGTGCTGGGCTCCGTGCCAGACAGAGGCACACATCCTCGGGCACGTCATGGGTCATCGGTCCATCGGGGCTGTGTGCTGTGAGCTGTGTCTGTCCCATGAGGGCCTGCAAAGATAAGGCCCCACTGCAGTGCACAGGGAGGTGATGTTTGGCATAAAGTGAGGTTATGCAGGGGTCAAGGTCTGGGGGAGAAACTGACCTCAGAGAAAAAACTGGGATTGCCAAGGATAAGGGGCACTATCAGAAGTGCAGGAAATTTGGGGGGCCAGATTTTGAAGAGTGTGGATCTATGCTGCCCGATCCAGTAGCCCCTGGCCACATGTGGCTCCTGAGTGCTTGAAATGTGGCTACTCCAAATTGAGATGCACCGTACATATATGAGCACAATGGAGTTTTGAAAACTTAGTATGAGAATATAAAATATTGCACTGATAAACTGTCACACGGTTGCATGTTGAAATGATAAATGGATGAAATAGAATGTATTATTAAAATGAACTTCACCTGTTTTTTTGTTTGTTTTTTTTTTTTTTTTTTTTGCTTCTAGATATCTAGAAAATCTAAACCTATGTACATGGCTCACACATGCAAGCTCATGTGATATTTCTGTGAGGCAACATCAGTGTAGATGGCTACAGGGTATCCTCTGGGTGGAGAGACTAAGGGGAGTGTCTGGGGGTCTCTGGGGGTCTGGGGATCAGGGAGAGAAGTGAAGCTCAAGATGGTCCCACTGCAAGCCTGGGCAATCCTGGACTTTCCGCGGAAGGCAATATTACCTTGCAGGTGATGTCACAACGTTAACACTCATTAATAGGCACATCTACCTTGCAAGGTATTCCTATTTTGCAGATGAGGAAACTGAGGCTCGAGGGGGAAAGCGACCGCGACAAAATGAGGGAACCTCTCTTTGGAGTGAACATTTGGGTGTGCCAGTGTGGAAGGGTATCATCTCTTGCTGCCAATGACATGTGGGTGTCTGCCTCTGCCCCAGGATCGAGCATGACAACACCGGCCTGAACGCCAGCTGGTACCTGGATCGTGTGATCGTGACCGACATGAAGCGGCCTCACCTCCGCTACTACTTCAACTGCAACAACTGGCTGAGCAAGGTGGAAGGTGACCGTCAGTGGTGCCGTGACCTGCTAGCCAGCTTCAACCCCATGGACATGCCCCGAGGTCAGTGCCGAGGCGGGCCTGCCTGCCGTCCTTCCCTGCCTGGGCTGGCCCCCAACCCTGTCTTGCTCTGGGCAGTCCCGTGTCCCCTTTGCCACTTGTCCAGGGTCTTCCAGTCGGCTGGGGCCCAGCTGAAGCCCCATCTTTTCCACATGACCTCCCCAAGAGCAAGCTTATGTGCTCTGGGGACTCAAGGAAATGGGAAATGCAAACGAACCAGGAGGCATGATGGAGGGGTGGGAGCAGCCCTGGGCATATCCTGTGTTTTCAACATTTCTTGTTGATGAGTATCTACCTAGAGTCCTCTCTGAGTTCAAAGGCAGCTGCCTCCGTCTTCCTATCTCTTAGCCCTTCTTCTGATGCCCAGAAGAAGGTGAGCTATGGCCAGGGCAGGGCAGATGGGAATCAGAACTCACAGCTACAGGGGCTCCATCAAGCTGTCCCTACCTCCTCCTGATTCTATGAGGAGGGAAACGACTAATTTCAAGTGCATCTCTGGCCAAAGGCCTTAAATTCGGGCATTTTAGCTCAACAGGAGGCGGGGGAACAAATCATGTAAAAACACACACCGTATCCCGTGGCCTGTTTTAATCACACTCTGTCCCCTAAAGTTCTGACCTCACCTCACCTCATTATTGGACATAGTTGCCTTTCCAAAAACGGAGACATAACACGTGGGCACCACCATCATAGCACCTTGCTTGCAGAGTGTCATAGACTTTTGGAGGTGAAGGCATTTGATAGCCATGTGACTTTGCCGGGGTCGCTCAACAGAGTAACAAAAGGCGGACGCACTCCTTAGATTCTGCCTTCCAGCGTGTGCCCTGTCGTCTCAGGTTCCGTCCTCTCTTGCAGCCCAGCTGGGCAGAAATAAGCATATTCTGTGTCCACTGGGCTTTAGCTCGCCTTTCTCTGTCTACCTCTGATTTCCTACCTTCCAGCTAATCTTGAACTTGCCTTGTTCCTCTGTGGCCCCCACCATAATTCCTTGCAACTTCACTGTTTCTTTAAAAAAAAAAAAAAAAAAAAAAAAAGAGTTGCTATTGATCTTTCTCTTATGACAAAAGCCAAATTTGACCATTGCAGAAAATTTAGAAAACAGAAATATGCAAACATTAAAAAAAAAAAAAAAGAATACCTGTAATTCCATCATCTGGAGAAACATCACTGGTTACATGTTTGTGCCCCCATTTCTAGTCTTTTCTATGCATAGTTTGAGAGAATGGACTGGTACCACATCCTGTTTTAGAGCATGTTTGTTTCGATGCCATTAAATATGGCTCAACACCCCTGCTTGCAGTGGCTGTGAAGTGTCCTTGTATAGAGGGGCACCATCATCCATTCACTGAATCCCTTATGTTGGATATTGACGTCGTGTCCCCCTCCAAAATTTTATTGTTGATATAAATAATACACCCAAATCTTTGCACAGACAAACGATTCTTTCCTTAGGATAAATTCCTAAATAGAATTTCCAGGTCAAATAGAATGCACATGGTTAAAGCTTTTAATGGGCATTTCCAAAATGCTGTAGAAAGGGTACATCAGTGCACAACCCCACCAGCTATGCAAAAGCACCCACTTTCCTCACCCTCAATTCTTAGTATTGTTTAATTTTCTAATTGGCTAGGAAAGGGGGTTTTACAATGTTCTCTCTTTGGTTATTGGTGAGGCTGGATATTTTTCATGTGTTTATTGTGTTTATTGGTCATTGGTATTGTGTTGTGTGTGTGTGTGTGTGTGTGTGCCTGTGTGAATTATCTGCCCATACCCCATGCCTGTCTTTTCAACTGGGGTGAATTTCATAGATTTTCGTCAAAACTTTACGTATGTATCTTTACTTCTTGATCCAGTCTCTTTACTAGGAATAATCCTTAGCAAGTTGTCAAGCTGGCTATCTTCCTGTCTATTCTCCCAGGCTCCCCCTTTTTTTTGGCCTTTTCCCACTATTTAGTTCTTCATGCTACCGTTTGCTTTGGTCACATGAAAATCTAGGGTTCCCCTGTTAGAAGAGCTTATGAGAAGTCACCATTAAGAAAGAATTCATGTGACCCCATAGCTCCCCAGCTTTCCACAAGAATCATCCAGGGTAGTGTTCTTGCCTCTTAAAGGAAGGACAAAGACACCCGCTGACCTTGTCCCTGAATCAGACCGCCTGGGCCCCCTGCCCTTTTATGAGCTGGAGGCACTGGAGTTTTAGTAATTCCAGGCTGGATTCTGAAAGAAGGAATGAAAAAAGGAATCTTCGAATACTCAGAGGACTGCATTGGTAAACAAAAGGTAAACTCTCTTTGCTTTTCCCCTGGAATTATACCCACTTGATATTTGGTTGCTGCAGGGGAGCCTCTAATGGTCAAAATGGGGAAGATAATTATTTCTTCATCCATGCAGTTTGACAGATGAAAATACTTTAAGTCGTGGGATGGCGGCTTAAGAAGGGGACTTTTTAGTGCATATTTTATCCTCCAAGGGTTAGTGAGTCATTAGCTGGGTAGCTTTGCTCCTCTCTCCCCACCTCCAGGACCATCTCCTGAAGCTCTGTCTGATAAATAGCTGGAACCTTCTTTTGTGCCTGCTCTTCAAGGAGGGTAGGTGTTCTAGGCTGACCGACTGACCTTTTGGCCAAGGTGATCAGCAGAAAATGGCAGGGGCAGAGGGACTGGACCTTGATCAGGTTTCTAGATGGTTCCTCTATAGGGGATCTCATATATCATGCTTAGTTAGAGACACGGCACCTGTGGTTGCTGGTGAGCTGTGTAGCTTTAGGACTGCTGCCCTGGCAAGAACATTACCCTTCCTGCATGACACAGTGCCTGACGTTTGCCACGGAGGTGACTTTTCCTTCTCTGGGTTCTCTTTAAACATGGGAAAATGCCCCGCATATTCCTAGTACGTCGGGGTGAATGCCTGGTCAGGGCCACCCTTTTCCTTCATGGAGCCCATAGGGTAAAGGTAGCCATGAGAAAAAGCAGGGACAGGAGGTTCCAAAAGAAGGAAGGGGATGATGACTAACTCAGTTAGGGTGGAATGAAGTTGTGTGGGTGGAAGATCCTAGAGCCCAAGTTCAATTTCTCAATTGTTCTCAATTGGTTGGTAAAATCGCTACACCTGGCACCTTAAGAAAACCAGGTAGCAGAGCCAACCCAAAGCCTTCACCTTTTGGTTTTCTTTGTATCTGACTGCCAAACCTGGGGGGAATCTGTTGCTGGGGACCAGGGAGACAGGCTGTGGTATCCCCTCAACCACTGGAGGCTCCCGAACCCCAGCCGCTCACATTCCATCTTTAAGAGTCTTGTCTTATTCATGTAAGCAATTTTCTTTGTGTACTTAGTCTTCTTTAACTCACTTTTGGCAACTTATATATTTACTTGTAGGTTTATTTTTAAAAGAAAGCAGATATCACTATCACAAAAAACTGTTATCAATTCCTATAAATATCAGCACATGTGAAAACAAATACGTAACATTAGATAACCCTCCTGTATCACCATTAGCATCCTGTGTGCCACCCGTGGTGTGCAAACTGCACCCTGAGAAACACTACCAGCCCTGATCTGTGAGGAAGGGAAAGTAGAAGTGGGGAGGAGGGGGAAGGGCTGGTAGGGTATCTGGGCTGTCCTCTTCAAGAGTCCTTGGCTTCACTTCATCCCCAGCACACTTCTGGGGGAGGCAAGGTGAAGGATGGCAGGCAGGGGTTAATTGCACAGGGGACTGAACTGAGGGCTCAGAGAGGTGGTGATTCATCTAATACCAACCAGCCAACCACTGATAGAGCTGGGACTAGAGTGCGAGGCTCCTAATTCTTGGAATGGGCTTCCTGTGTCTCCAAGACCAAGGGCAACCAACCTGGCCCCTAAGAGATCAAGGCTTGAAGGATCACAGCTAGGGCTCATGGGGGTTAGTAGGACCAGTCGACTGTCACAGGGATCCTTTCCACAGTGTCCACATCAGTTGCTTCTCCAGCCTTGGTTTGAATCCAGCCTTTCTTGACGGTGGGTGGTTCCCAACCACCCAGCTCAGCCATCCCAGTGCTAAGGGGCACTGGTTTTCAGAAAGCTCTTCCTGCAATTAAAACCCATACACTCTCCCTGGGACTTCTGCTTGTCCATTGCAGTCCTCTGCTAACAAACACCCTGGATGTTTTCATGTCTGCCTTTCAGCCAAGTGAAGAAAGGCTGCCCTCCTCTCAGGACTGCATCCCCAGGTTCCTTGGCCTCTCCTCTTGTGGCTTATGCCCAGTCTGCATCCCTGAGTAGCTCTGGTTTGTCAGTGATCCCCAAGAATGTACCTCCTAGGCAAGAACCCTATGTTCCGGATTGGCGGGTGGTGGGCGGGGGTGGGGGGCGATGGGGGGAGTGGACTCCTCAGAACAAGAGTGCATAGGTCTCCCTGACTCCATTATCCTACTTCTTCTAAAAAATTATTATTATTGCAGTAAGACATAGATAAAATTCACCATCTTAACCTTATTTAAGTGCATTATTCAGTGGCATTAAATAAATTAATTATTGGGTATCCATCACCACCATCCATCTCCAGAACTTGCTCCTCTTCCCAAACTAACACTCTGTGCCCATAAAATAGCTCCCCTTTCCCATTTCTTCCAGCCCTGGGCAACCTCTGTTCTTTCTTCTGTCTCTATGAATTTGACGACTTAGGAATCTCATATAAGTAGAATCATACAATATTTGTTCTTTTGTGACCGGCTTATTTTACTTTAGCGTAATGTCTTCAAGCTCCATCCATGTTACAGCATGTGTGGGAGTTTCACTTCTTTACAGGGCTAGATGATATTCCATTATATGCGCAGCCCCTATTTTATTTATCCAGCCATCTGTCGATGGACATTTGGGTTTTTTCCACCTTTTGGCTATTGTAAATAACGCTGCTATGAACACTGTGTACAAATAGCTGTTGAAGTTCCTGCTTTAATTTCTTTTGGGTACAGACCCAGCAGTGGAGTTATTGGATCGGGTAGTAATTCTGTGTTTAACTTTTTTGAGGAATAGCCGTACTGTTTCCTACAGCAGCGACATTATTTTGCATTCCCAGTAACAGTGGACAAGGGTTCCAACTTCTCTACATACTCACCAATACTTGTTATCTTCTGGGTTTTTAAAATAATAACCACAGTTAGTGATGTTGAACATCTCTTCTTGTGCTTATGGGTCATTTGTACATTTTCTTTGGAGAAATGTCCATTCAAGTCCTTTGCCCATTTTAAAGTTGAGTTGTCTGTTTTTATTGTTGAGTTGTATGGGTCCATCCAGAATATATTTGGGGGTATTAACCATTTATCAGATGTGATTGATTTACAATTATTTTCTCCCATTCCATGGGTTGCCTTTTCACTCTGTTGAAAGAGTTTTGTTGGTGCGCAAAAGCTTTTAATTTTTATGAAGTCCAATTTATTATTTTTTCTGTTGTTGCCTGTGCTTTTGGTGTCATATCCAAGAAATCATCACCAAACCCAATATCATGAAGATTTTGCCCCATGTTTTCTTCTAAGAGTGTTATACTTCTACATCTTACATTTAGGTCATTGATCCATTTTGAGTTAATTTTTGTGGACATTATAAGAGTCCAATTTCATTTTTTTGCACATGGAGAACCAATTTTCCTAGCATCATTTGTTGTAAAGACTGTCCCTTCCCCCACTGAATGGTTTCACACTCTTGTCAAATATCATTTGGCCATATTCACAAGGGCTTATTTCTGGGTTCTTTATTCTGTTCACTGACCCAAATGTCTGTCCTGAAGTCTACTGCACTGTTTTGATTACTGTAGCTTTGGACGGAGTTTGGAAATCAGGATGTGTAAGACTTCCAACTTTGTTCTTTTCTTTTAAGATTGTTTGGATATTCAGGCTCCCTTGATGTCCTGCTTCTTTTCATCCATCCTACATTTTCATTAACCATTTTTCACAGTGACAATATATCACATTGCCTTTGAGGCCAAAGGGCTCTTATTCCCCCCAAAAGAAAAGATGAAAATGCTGTCTCCAC